GCTTGACAGGCTGACAAAGAAAGATTTCCAGGGATGCTTCCAGGCTTGGCAGCGGCGCTGGGATCGTTGTGTTCACTCCCAGGGGAACTACTTCGAGGGTGATGGATGAATTTAATACCTGAGATAAGTGTACGGGTTTTTAATACTCGCAGTCTGGAAACCTTCCGATCGCACCTCGTACTTCATACAACGCAAAAGAACAAATATTTTACGTGTTTACGCTTAGCTGATTTAGGCCGTATCTCGTGGACTGATGGTAGACCTTACGCAGTGAAGTTTTACGTGTCGATATGGATAAATTGAATCTGGCACTGATGTTGGAGGTAGTGACAGTTTCCGAAACGTCGAAACGTCACTCCATACTGACATGGCATTAACATCCAAGATTACTTCACTGCATTCAGTTGATGTGATAGCTTAAATCTTGGAAGAAACATGTTTCGTGTTTGATAATTTACAAATTATCTTTACTGCAGTCAATGTTTATTGAATGATTTTTTTAAAATTGTATCGAAGTGTTCAGAAGTATAACTTACTTAAAATCGCAGGGGCCGAATGGAAACTTCCAGAAAATCCTAAAAGAATAAACGTCAATTAATATATGTGTTCTATCACTTTACGAAATCTAAAGTACGTGTGTGTGTATGGATTTGGTACCGCTGTTCTTGCCTTCAGGGGCAAGTTCTGAACTGAAATCACCGGAATAGCCTAAATGAGATAAAAATATTAACATTTATACACACTTAGGTATTACAGACCATTATTTCATTTATCTGATACAATTATAAATCGGTTCTCACTTCCAGGAGCAGGTTCTGAGGCGAAATATCTCTAAAAACCTGAAACATGGAAGCATTTTGGATGAATCACGCACACTTGCGCCTTTATGTACGATATACAGGGTTATTCATAATTTCCTGATACATTACAAAAAATCGCTAGTCTTCAATGGTGCAATGGATCGTAACATAGGACATGCCGATAGAAAGAGAAACTCTCCAAGTTTATTTTACATGCCTCATAAATGCTCTATGACCAAGCGCTGCTTCGTTGGCCACCCCGATCACCTGACGCCATGTGATTTTTTTTCTTATGCGGGTACGTTATGAACCAGGTCTTTGTACCGCCTCTGGCTGAACTGCGAAGACAAATCATCGATGCCATCTCGCAAATCGATTGTGACATGCTGCAGCAGATACGGGCGGAATTGGATTATCGGCTTGACGTCTGCCGTGTCACAAAGAGCGGACACACAGAGCATTTATGAGGAATGTAAAATAAACTTTGAGAGTTTCTCTTTCTATTGGCATGTCCTATTTTACCATCCATTGCACCATTGAAGACTAGCGTTTTTTTGTAATGTGTCAGGGAATTATGAATCACCCTGTATTAATGTAACAAAAGTGAGGTGTTTCTTACCTGCAGGAACTGGCTCTGAATATAAATTCGTGGCGTAATCTACAACAGAGAAACACGCGATAAGTTCACTTGTACTTTAGAAGCTACTCACAATAAAAACATGAATCTCTCACATTTACTAAGAGATTCTTACCTCGACGAAAAGGTTCTGAGCCAAAACTTCTACCGTAACCTGAAAAGTATAAAAATGTATTAAGTAAACTTACTTGTCATTAATTACATCCTGTATTTAATTTATGTAATGCATAGCTGTAGGAGCAGGTGACGAGCCGAAATTATTGGCTTAACATGAACATACAATTTAGTAGCTGAGAGGTTTTCTTACGTCTCTGTTGAGGCGCTGAATCGAAAAATCTGGAGGAATCTGAAAAAGAACAATTCTGTTACGATTCCTTGCGTAAAGAACGCCATACCAAAATCAGCAGGTAGTGCCTCTACTCGGCCTGCGTTGTCTACGAAACTGAGTGTAATAAATGCATTTTATATTATACGAGGCTCGTCCTTAAAGTAAGTTTCCCTGGGGCCGTTTACAGAAACAAAACACAATTTCATGGAAATATTTATTGCAACAGATACAGCAAGTGTCCAGCTATTTTTCAACATATTCGCCACCGGAATTGAGACATTTGTCATACCGTGGGACCAACTTTTGAATACCTGGGTCGTAGAAGTCTGCCGCCTGGGATTGGAACCACTGTGTGACAGCCATCTCCGCCTCTCTGTCATTCTCAAAACGCTGACGCTGACGCTGACCGGACAGGAATTTCTTGAGGTGTAGGAAAAGATGGAAATCACTGGGAGCGAGGTCCGGGCTGTAGGGTGGATGATTAAACACCTCCCAGCTGAACTCCTGCAGGAGACTTGCTGTCCGTCGAGCCGTGTGCGGCCTAGCGTTATCACTGACCGCACTTCACAGTCGGCGGGAGCTGGAATAAGAACCTCCATCTTCAACAGCTGCAACGATGCTACTGTGAGAACGCGGGAAGTGCCGTTAGTGCATGCGCCATGTTACGTCATTGCTCTATCACGTACGCACAGTCGCTTCGCTCAATATAAGGTTTGTTAGCTGTGGGACGAGTGGGAAACTTACTTTTGGGACGCGCCTCGTATTAATAAATATTAATATTTTCTACAAGTCGTATAGATAAAAGTGAATTTTTAGTAATTTAATTCTGATGTCAAGCCAGACTCCATCTTCTCAGTTGAAAATGCAAGTAATGTCTGAACAGAGTCGTGTGATTTTTTAAATTATTCGAATGTTTGTAATTGAATTCTTCTTATTCTGGAGAAAATATAGATCAATAAAGAATTTGTTTCAAAATTGACATTGTAATCGAAATTAATCTTCGAATATTTCTTCACTGTGTGTCATACTTAAGTTATCTGAGAGAAATGTCATTTCCTGAGCCAAGCAGTCGAGTACATTTTCATGATAAATAATTTATATATTTGTCTGTCTGTCTTTACATAAATATTACTTTGTTTGAGCATAACGATCTTTAGATTTGCAGCTAAAATTATCGAGACAAACATCTCTAAACCAGCTGTGATGCTACACTTTAGTAAATATGATGTTAAAAATCTTTAATTTAAAATCATTATACAGTGTGTTTCATTCGTAGTGCAACACTTAAAGCCCGTCGCCTCAGCTCAGTTACCGGCAAACACTCGCCCACCGGCCGATGAGTTTCCAGTCACGTTTACGGTTTCAGCGTTTTGTTAAAAGCTCGAGCTTCGTCCGAATTGTGCAGTTCCACACACGGAAGTGCTCTGTACTACTTCCTGTCTTTCAGAAATAAATTAATAGTATTATTGTTGTAATTTGCATGCCATGCACTGTGTAGTGCGCTCATACCTTCAGGAACAGATGAAGAACTGAAACTTGCCATGAAACCTAAGGAACGAAAGTGCATATTCAGTATTTAGGTATATCTGTTATCGTGAAAGCCCGAATGTTGGTGAAACCCAGGATTTATCTGACAAACCTAGGTAAACCCCCATTTTCAGGGTTTAGAAATATATATTCCTTATTTAGTTTGTATCTTTAAAAAAATTTAACAGAAGTCGAAATAATAAACATTTTGTAATAAAAAATATTGAGATATTTTAATCTTCAAAGTACATTTTATTTCCCCACTGCTGTTTCAAGACGTATTTGTTGCAAAAGGTAAGGTATTATGACATTTGGAATTGCGTAACACACCAGAGGATTTGCACAAAAACGTTTTTGCTAACCTAACCTAACCTAACCTAACCTAACCTAACTTAAACTAACCTAACCTAACCTAACCTAACCTAACTTTTTAATACGTGCTTATGGTAAATCCTAACATTTACCAACACTTTTTGGTAAAACCTAGGTTTGTCTGGTAAATCCTAGGTTTCACCAACATTCTGGATTTTACGGTAACATAACAATTACTAATTAACTAACTCAATAACTGCATTGAGCAGTGTCCTGCTTGAAAGCTCAGGCAGGCAAATAACCTGCCATTTATGGAAGTCTCCAGGTTTTTCTAGCAACATTTTATTTGAAATTTTCATCTCACTATAGTTTGATGTATAACTCACACCCATCACACTCACTTTTGTTAATTTTATGTGGGAATGAGAAAACTATTATTACACCATTGTCGTTCGGGATGTAAAATGAAGAATTACGTAATTAAAATTGCAACATGCCTAATGCTAATCGCTTACGGTCAGCAATGTAAAAGTTTTAAAATTCTATTTCAGTTGAAAGACAATGCGAAGTTGCTCACCGAGTGGAATTGGTGATTTGATGTAGGCAGCAGCACGTAGTGCAACTGAAAAGAACGCACGTAATACAGCGATATTTAATATTAACTTATCGCTGAAACAACACGCACAGAAATTATTTTTTAAGTCCTGAATCGTCACAATTCCGTTTTGTGGTCTTATACATCGCAATTCTAAGTACATTTATAAAATGTTCCTTGATATTTTTAACTCTTTAAACAATCTCATGTCTTCAAACAAGTGAATTGTTGCTTCAGACACAACATGGCCATGGAGTTAGTGATTATTATAGCTTTCGAGTGTTTTGTGTCTCTCCTGTTGTTAGCTAAATACCAGATTTCTGACGTTCTACTTGAGATTAAAGAATATTCCAATGGGGATCACATTTAAAGTCTATTAATTAACACTGTACCAAATAATTATGTTCAATTTGTTCCTTTGAAAGAGTTCCAAAGTTCAAATGTCTGGGAACAACAAATCAAAATGACACTCACGAGGAAGTTAGGAGGAGATTAAATTTCGGAAATGCTTGCTACTTCTCAGTTCAAAATATTTTGTCTTCCCGTCTGATTTCTAAGAACCTGAAGATTAAAGTATACAAAACAATAATCTTGCCTGTTGTTTTGTATGGGTGCTAAACATGGTCTCTCACTCAGAGGGAGGAACACAGATTGCAGGTGTTTGAGAATCGGGTGTGGAGGAGGATATTTGGGCCTAAGAGGGAAGATGATGGGGCGTGGAGAAAACTGCACAATGACGAGCTTAAAAATCTGTACTGCTCCCCCAGTATTGTCAGGGTGATTAAGTCAAGAAGAATGAGATGGGCGGGGCATGTAGCACGCATGGATGGGACAAGAGGTGTGCACCGGGTATTGGTTGGGAAACCT